GAGCGCAAAATGGTCTGACAAACGGCTCCGTTTAAGGACATTTGTAAGATTGTAAAAGACCAATTCCATCTCGTCCAAGAACCCTCCGTCCTACAGCAGGAACAGTATGACTCCAAGCGATCCTGCAATCAAGGCGTGGGTCCTTGTTCTTTGATGAAGTGGTGTGTGAGCCAACATGAGCTGAAATTCATCGTTGCAAACAAGAGCAAGCCGTGATCAAGAGTGATTGCGTATTTACGTATTATTGCTTCCAATGGCTACTCCCACCCTCGATGGCTTTGGTGCGCTTGGTGGATTTTCAGGAAGTGGCTGGATCCTCAGAGCAGACTTGTTTTGATCAGTGTGGCAGGCTTACTGATTGGTGAGAGATCAGGAACGATTCCGAGCCTGCCTGTGACCCCTGGTGGCTTTCCGGCCGTGTCCTTAATTTACCCCGAGATCAACTCTGGGGCTTCTGCCAAAAGCTTGGCATGGTGTTTGTTCACGTTTGTGAAAGGCCCTTCTGGATGCAGCAAGACAACAAACAGAGCTGGTCTTTTGGATAGTGAGGCCGATTTCAAATGCTGCGTGGTGTGCTGTTGCAGGCACTTGATCCCAGATGAAGCATCCCTGGCACAGGACGGTGCAAGAACACGAAGGTCGCATATCTTCGCTGTGCTATTCCTATTGTTCACCATGACCGCATCAAAACGTCACAGCAAGCCGTGTATTTTGTCGTCATGTCTTTGTTGCCGTCAGTATGTGGAACGTTGAGGTCAAGACAGCTGGCTGATCAACTGAAATTAGTGTCGGAGGACTTTGTCAAGTTTTGGTGTCTAGCCGATTTGTGTTTAAGGATGGTCTGACATCTATGCTAGAGGACCGCAAGATCTTCAAGTCTGCATCTACGCGGAAGTGGCCACAGCTCCAGCTAGACTTGGAGTGGCAGTGTTTGCATTTAGAATTCCAAAGGCCCTCCGGCGGTTTGGGATCTCGTGGGCTCAGCCGTGAAAGCTTCACGTCGACGCTCGAATAAATTTGCAGATGTGGGCCGAATGCTGTAGAACTCATGTTGATTGTGCGTTTGTTCAGCACTGATTGCCATGTTTCCGTGAGGAATGATGGCGCCATGTTGTCTCAGGTCGGTTGTTCTGCATGCTTTGCATGCATTCAAATGTTCGGAGTGAGCTTGCTCTGATAGGCTACGGGTAGCCCACATCATGATGTGGAGCCGGATAAGACTCAAATCGAAGAGAATTTGGACATGGACCTTCCGTTGGAGCACATCGCAGATGAGCTCGCAGCATCTGCAGAGCCTACAGAGCCCGCAGAGCAAAGCCCTCTGCCAGAAGGCGATGCTGGCGATGGCGATTTAAACGACCCGGAGCTAGGCCGTGCGTCCCAAAGCCCAGATGGACGTGTTGCTGGCAGCATCGCCTCACCTGAAGTTCCTTGGCTGATACTGTACGGAGCTGCTATGTGCCGTTTGGAGCAGTGGACAGTGCACCCAGTGGACGTGCGCGAAGGTGAGACGAATGTCCTTTGCATCAGGCCTTTGCTGCTGTTACACTTCTTTCTTTGCGCCTGGCTCTCCAATTGTTTGGTCAGGTGGGCGTAGACGGTCCTCTGTAACTGGACCGCTGCCAGTGGATGAAGCGATGGCCAGCAACATTGTCACAGAGGAGCGGGCTGCTTCGAAGGATGACAAGGCCTGCAACTTCTGATCTGCAGGAACGTTTAGCAGATCGCCTGGAAGAACGCATCCAGCAGGTCTTGGCACAGGCTCTGCTTGAAGAGTGTGCTGGAATTTGCCGCGTTGCTTGCAAGCTTTTCAGGATGTCGAAGCCCGCTTGGAGGACGATTCTTGTCAATTGGTTCGGCAGGTTTTCAGTGACGTGCAAAGATTATCCCTAGAGGACGTGGCCCAGTTTGTGCAAGAAGAGGTTTTCAGATTCGTCCTGGGGCCAGAGATGATGGAAAGAGTTAGGCAGGTCATACCACGCTGAGTTGCTTGACCTGGATATCATGTGCAGAGGAACTGGCTGCATGCCTAGCATTGAACACGGAAGGCACGAATGCTCCTCTGTCATTTCGATGGAGCTTGCAATCGCACTTGCTGCGCAAGACAAGAAAGTCGAGGACACGCAGACATCTATTTCAAGACTGACACTTGCAGAATCACTGTTTCAGGAACTCATCAGGTCCAACATTGTGGGCCCTCTTAGTCACCTGGAGTCCTTGCCCGGACAGCGCCAGCCTTGAAGACTCAGCAAAATGCGTCCGTTTGCAAGCGGCTGTTCCTTGCAGCCCGATATGCTCACTGGCCCAAAAGCTCAGGGATGTGACAGATGATCTCGGCAGGTGGGGTCTTCAGGACTTTTTCTGGGTGCTCTATATTATAGTAATTTCCATTTTCTTTTCCATTATCCCCATAGAACCCCAACATTACAGTAGTTTCCATTTGCTTTTCCATTATCCAACCCTGATCCCCAATTTTTGGCTGCCTTGAGGCGGCTGAAACTGACCGAGGACCTCGTTTCCGAACTGAAGGTGCTGCAGTTGGGTTGAAGCTTCCTCATTGTAATATTGGGGTTATATAGGGGTTAGAGGGGGATAATGGAAAATCAAATGG